AAGAAAATGGATTTAAGCTGCTTTTATCACAACAAATCACCATGTATCTGTGCCTTATCAAATGTTTTTTTCTTGTATGATCAGATTTTTATGTAATAAAACTTTACAAAAATTTGTGTTTATTTTTTTATTCATTTATAATACCATAGTTTTTTCAATTATTACTAAAGCCTAAAATTATTGTTTCATTGATTAAATATGTAAAAATCATTTTAATTAAATAATACAAAAGTTTTTTTAAACTAGTTTTTTCATACATTTGGTTAAATAGTTAGTACAGTTAGTTAATTCTAACCTATTCAATTTCCATAGAAGCATTTCAAAATTTTTATTTATCAAATATTCACGACAGGTTTGTGCTGCTTCTTCACATTGTTGTGCATGCTTCATGTATCTCAAGTATAGTCTCAAATCCTGAGCCTCAGTTTCCTGTCCATCTATGGCATAAAATTCGGAACAAACTTTAGACATTAGAAAGTCTTCACACAATTCCCTCACAATGTCTTCCATATTAAATTAATGCTTCTTCTACAGCCATAAATCTAACTTTTTCTTCTTATTCCTCGATATATTTAATTACCTCTCTATCTGCAATATCATCCTTCAAATCTGCTATTTGCTCTTCAAATCCTAAGCTCGTCAACTTTTCCAATAGATTGAACAAATTTTTGTTTATTAAATACTCGTTACAAGCACTAGCTGCACCATAATGTTTTTCAGCTAGATTATGATACCAATCCACATATGAAGGTCTACTACGCATACAATTGATATCGTAATACCTTGCACTTTTTTTAAACTCACTAGACAACTTTTCAATAAGCTGATTGAATCGATTGAAGTTAACTGAATCAGACATCGTGTACGAATGAAATGTCCCCAACTAGGAGCCAATAAATATGGTGTATGGTAGCGGATGAAGGGTAGGAAATTCGCGGTTGACGACTGGTGGTGGACGAATGGTAGGAAAGTGGCGGGTGGGCGGGCGGGACCGTCTGGTGAAAGTAGGTCAGTGGGAAAGTAGGTCAGCGCCGGAGTCTACCCCCCTATTCCATCTACTCAGAAACATACCACAATATAAAACTTCAATAAATATAGATCTTCATGTGGAAATAAAAATAAAATATTTAAAAGCTACTAGCAAATATTTATTGATTTTTTTTGTCTGTAAAGTACGTAAATTTCTTTGTTAATAAAACTAAAAAATAAAATTGCTTTTTATTTATTCCCTCTGGGCTAGTTCAGGCTAGGCTATTCTGCAAAAATTTAAAAAAATTCAACGAGAGCAATCTGCACAGCATTAGCTGAGGCCAGACTAGTATCCTCATCACGGTTGACAGAATTAATAACTTACTACTACTACGACAACCATCATTCAATTATCAGGTTCTATAGTGGTCTAGTTGTTAGCATTAGCAGTTCGTGCGGGACTGATAAATGCTCATCCCAATCCCGGTAAATTCTTGCACCCAATCCTCATTCTCTGACAACCCTTAAAATACCTACCCCTATAGCTCAGCTTTTGAGAGCGCGTCCCCTGGATCAAACCGCCCATAAGGGCACAACTTTTTTGTTTTTGTTTTTATTAAAATTATTAAGTTAATGAAAAGTGGGGTTTTTAACTATTTTTTCCCCACACGACGGGCGCTGCGCGTTTTTCAACTTATAATCCGGCATCCACCCACATCATCTGGTAGGCCAGTGTAATGGTCCAATGCTTCCCATACCATGATAGTTGTCAGCGACACTAGGGTCATTAAAACAGCGTCTAAGAGAGACCAGGTAACGCTGCGAAATCAGTTTCAAGCAAGGATAGGACAGGGGCTTGTTGGTCATAACATCAGACCGTGCTAAAACATGTCCAAACAGCGCGCTAGGCGTGTCTGGGTCACGGTGTGCTGCGCCACACCGGAGTTTTTAGTTTTAAGTCTGTGCAGGAAATATGAAAATGATAAGTGGACTGTATAATTGGGTTAATCAAATCGATCGCGATATGCACAAGATTTGAATTTAATAAGAACTCACTCACCTATCTTGAAGCGTATCACTAAATTCTTGAATAAGAGGGCCCTCTGAACACTTCCTTTGGGTTGCTCAATCCACCCAGCACAATAGTTGAGTTAGTAAATGTTTTTCAATAATTCCGAAAATCCGAAAGCCGAAAATTGTTTTGTCACCACAAATTAAAGTTACGATAAAGGTAAGGGTAAGAAAAGTTGCATGCCCTTTCACACGCAACACGCGACGGTACTCTCTGGTGCCTTGTCGGACGGGTTCAATCGTAGTGATTTTACTATTTTTAGGACCCGTATGTAGTACCAAAAAGATACAGGTTTTGCGCTGGTGACGCATGTGAGTTTTACCATTCAAACCTGTGCATATTATCAAAAATAATCAATGCTATGCGCGCGAATAATAATCTTCAAATTCAAAAATATTGTCACCAACGATAAGATGCCAACTTTAGTTAAACCAACGTTGATTAATAATTAATTATACGCTAACATAAATTTAATAAAGATTCTTCAACAAAGTCTATGTACTAGTTTTAAGTTAATGTTGTATGTTTTTAGTTTGAGGGGGGCCTAACACCCCTACCTGAAATTGTACTATCATGTTTATTTATTGAAATAAAGATTTTTGAGTTGAGTTGAGTTCTTGATCGAATGGACTGCGGTTCGATACCACACAGACATGAGAACTTTTTTTAATTTTTTCCCATGTTAAATTTTAGCCGTACAAGTCTCTTCATCAGAACAAACATTTTCCTAGTTACATTCAAGGTCTATAGCAGTCTAGTGGTTATGGCTAGTCGTTCTTGAGTGAATGGTCAACGGTTCGATTCCACACAGACACTAGACTTTTTTTTTTTTAATTTGGAGTAAGACATTTTAGGTCACTGCTAATTACTTCTTCGGCACAGGTGAGGTGTGGACATCGAGGTGTCCGAGAACCGCCTGCCATCGAGTGTCCCAGTACCGCCTATTCTCTACTACTCATCTATTCCAGCGTAATAGTGCTTGGCACTAACGCTATGATAAACTCAAAAAGATGAACCTCCAAAATATTACGACTCATTTTCTTCTTTTTCACCTTCTTCGGTACACTTCAAATTACATCTAATAGATATAATAATTCTTCTTATGCTACAACCCACACGTAGTTTAATATTGACCCAAAATTGTATAAATATCTTTTTTATCGAAATGATGACACTACTGTTATCATAACTGCACTTTCAACTTGAAGCCTAACGAAGTCAAAAAGTTTTTAATCTGCACTGTTAGCCGTTTGACTGATTTTCCTTCACTGACTTGTTTTTGTCCTTTTCGTTGTCATTGTTGTTATCGGAAGGTGCACTAAATGAATTATGATTATGTAAAAATACCATTTTTTTCTATGCTTTTCTTAAATGTTATCGAACCGTTATCAATTCACTGCGGAAGTTAATGGCTTCTCCACTTTGATCAGTAATTTTCAATAAAATCTCATCAATGTATCGGGTACTGATTGGCAAATAAATGACATTTGAGGGTTTTTCAACTATTTTAAATAGAACATGTGCAGTATATGAACCGGATGACCGTTATTGTAGGAATTTATCACTAAATTAGACTCTACACAAATTGCATTGACCTTGAAAATATCCACTGGCGAAAGTTTGTCTCTCCATAGGTTTACAACTGATGCTAAGCTGAGGAAACTGTGGCTGCGTGAAAGTCTTCATGGCATTTCCGTGCACTTTTTTGGTTTCCCCTTCGAGCAATATTTCAATTTTTATTATGTGCTCTTTATCGGTCAAATGAGACGATTGCAGACAGTGGGTATAACGTACTTTTTTGGCAATTGCCTAATTATACTGCGTACGGCTAGTCAGCATCAATTCGAAGGCCATGGGTTTTTGGGTTCCCTGTATACATCTTATCTTTGGGCGCCACCAAGTTAATTGTGACTTAACTAGGAAGTTTACTTAATGATGTCATAAACAAAACCTGTGCAATTGGAAATCTTAGCAATAAAACAACTAATAAGGTACAATAATGTAGCTGGCTTTCTTTATTAGAAATAATTACAAACCTAAATATGGATAGCCAGGGCGTTATTAAAAAATGTATAGATTCAGGCTTGTACCTAATTTATAAATATTTGAATATATATAAAAAAAAATGAATGTAAATAATGTATAGATAAATATGAATTTGAAGTAAACATGACAAACTGTTTGGTATTCACACTTGTGAATGATGAAAAAAATACAGTATCGGTTACACTTTACCAACAGGCAAATTAAACACCAGAAAGGTGAAAGTTATTGTTTGGGCAACCTCAGGGTAAAATTCTAGAATTTTATTTAAGAGCATTGCTCATCAGCTGATTCGATGCAATTCGGGGTTCCGGCGAGAACACACGCGCGGTCGCCCGTTTCCTACGCGCTGGCAACAGTGCGTATTTTTACATGCATTATCAAAGGATCAAGAAGATTTCGAGATTTGATTTACCTATTAGACGACGACATAGCTCAGATCAGGACTAGCTATTATAAATATTTTCAAATAAATATCTAATTATTTATTGTTATGTTTATTATTTATTAGAGTTTTTACGGGAGTTTTTACTTCACATTCACAAGTAAAGTATTGAGAAATAGTAGTTAGGGGTTTCGGAAACATTGAAGAAAACTAAATTAAATTTAAAAATATAATTTAATTTGTGTATTTGGTCAACAATAAAATTGTAGGGGCGATTGACTTGAAAATAAAACAACGTAGGTATCTCTATATAAAGGGGTGTGTTATATAGGCTACTTTTTATCCCGGAAAAATGCACGATTCCTGTGGGATAGTTTAGGTTAATTTAAGTAGCAGGATACAGCTAGTCTATAATGAAGAAATATATGGTGAGACTCATTTTGAGTTCTGGCCCTGGCGCTTATTGTCTTGTACCCTGAGATTTGTCCAATATTTTGAAAAAAAAAAAATAATAATAATATTGCATCCCTTCTAGCTGTCTGGAATATTGGAGCATTTAGTGTTACAAAGTTGATCCCTAATAGGTAGCCCTTTTGGAAAAAGTGGGTCTACTAATTCTGGCAACAGAAAATAGTCATAAAATGCTCTTAATTTAGGTAACATTTTTTCTTTCCAAAATACTTCGTCTCGATTTATCTAAAAAAAAAAAAATTAGATCCAGTAATATCGCATTCCTGATGCATCTCATTTCCCATTTATAAGATATAGGTAGGACAAGAGACTTTACCTGTTCAATTAAAATGCCGAAAGGACTCCAGATAATAAAGTAACATGACTGTTTGTTAGCTATAGCTAACTGACCTTGTACTTGATAGTAGTAGTTATGGTTTCTTTTCAATTTCAATGCTCCATCTTCTATAGTGGCAAAAGTAATTTTTCCTGTTTGAATTCCCTCTGTTGGATCCATTTTGGCGATGGTGAAGGGACATTTGACTTCTATTAGGAAATTATTTTCTATAACAAAACCATCCGGGCTTGCAGCTAAATAGTATTCCTTTTCCCCTATAAACAGCCCACAAGGTACAACTTGTAAATTGGTTTTTTTTTCAAATTCTAAAATGGCTCGTGCCTCACTTTCGTTGCCATACTTTGTGGCTTTATTTCCCGTGAAAGTTCCATATAATAAAGTTTTTATGGTGTTCCTCGGTGAAGTTTTTGGTCGCATCTTACAAATTTTACCGAAATTTGAGGCTGTGATTCTAAGTGACCTTTCTTGTAACCATTTTGGGTTGAAGGCCTGACCTATAGTGGATTTTTGAATGTCACTTATTTCCTCCGGATCTTTTCTTTGCTCCTGCAAAAATGCTTTTTCCTTTTCTATGTAAATATCACTATTTAAATCCAAAGGTATATAGTGAGCATTAGGACCATAATCCTTATCCGCGAGAGACTGTTTGATAATTTTGGTTCTTTTTTTGGAAAATATCCTTTTTTTAATGATTAGCCTATTTTTCTTGCATTTCTCTACATATTTTTTCGTATAACGTTGAGGACTTGAGCCAACAGTTTCGTGAAGAAATCTGTAATAATTTCCACCAGAATTAAAAGATAACGCAGCAGCCTCACAACGCGTTTGGTAGGAGCCTCTCTTCGAAAAAAGTATACGTTTGCCACCAACGAATTTGCATACAACACTATTATAATGCTCCGCAAGATTGTTGTCCATATTCAAGATTAAGCTGCTGGTGTTATCAACAACTCTTTGCAAAGCTACTATAATATCTTCGTAAATTCCACAGTCTTGCATACTTGGAACGAGATTGTGTTCATTTTCTTTTTCGCATTTGAAATACTGTATTTCCTTGCATCTGGCGTGCTCACCAAATATGTGACTTGGTGCATTGTAGATATCACCCCTCAGTAATGCTATTTTTTTGTCCATTGTTGTCTGTTCAGCTATTCTATACGTAGTAGCCTTCGTTATTGCAGTTCTCAATCTCATAAACCTACTGAAAATCTCCTTTCTAAGTGCCAACGGGACAGGTAAATTTTTAGAATTACTACGGTTTTTACCTAAACAAATAAAATAAAATAAAAAACTCACGAATACTTCAGGGTCTTCTTCCATAATCGATATTATACTTACTGCAAACTTCTCGTATTTTCTTTGCAAAATTTCTAAGCAAGTGATTTTTACATTCCACTTTTTGGACCAATAAATTACCATAAGGTTTTATTTGCAAAAGCTTTCTGTATACTGAAGAGTCTCCATCTCCAACCATTTTGGTGTATTTAATATTGTACAACTCTAAACTTTTTTGAAAACCCTCAGATATTATGTCGGTTTCCATTGACGTGGATGTACCACTCCAGTTCTTGTAGCAGTTGTGGACTGGAACGTCTTTTTTTTTGTTTTTATACCATGAGCACAGTGAACAATATTTGTTTCGTAGACCAAGGAACAATATTTTTCCAGTTTTGTACCCGATAATGCAAGCCTTAAATTTAGATGGGTTTAATAATATAATGACCATTAATATAAATAGATAGTAATTTTTTGCATTCCTATCTTATACTAATAATAATGGCTCTGGTGCACTATAAGTACCTCAAAACTAGACATTTTACAGTTGTGGAAACAATATATGATTATAGCAGGACTTTGAAATACGAAAAAGTGAGGATGAACACTAAAAAATTTTTTTTTCAAAAAAAAAACAACTCAAAAGTTAAATTAACTATATGTCTATATCATTTAGGTGCCCTATCACTTCAGTGCCACACTCATTGGGGTTTGATAGACACATAATTCGTTTGAGTAGAGAATTATTCAAGGATTTCTTGAATAAAAATTGCGGATAATGCACTTTTTTCAAAAATATTTTAAGTTTGTACTATTTTCGTTGCGCCTGTTAAGATACGGGATACGCACGGTTTTTGCAGCGAATGGACCTGGGTTATCGATTCTCGTTGGAGGCAATACATTTTTTTTGGTAATTGTTTAGTGAAGGTTTTTCACAAAAATATCATGTTTTTTCTTTATAAACAGTTATGTTTTATCTCAAAATAGTTTGCAGGGACTAGCACGCAGAACAAAGACGGGTTAGTTTGAGTTAGTTTGCATGTTTTTGATCAGTTTCAATACAGTACAGTAGTAACTGTCGGTTAGAGTGTACAAGCTTCAATAGTTTAATAGGTATTATACGCTTTATCATTACTCAATAATGTTTTTTTTTTTCGAAAAATGGTTTAAACACTTAGCTCTTCTTTCAGTTCAAATATCTACCACATGATGCTTTTCATGTTTATTGAATTTTTATCTGCTAACCAGAGCGATTGTGATATTATGCTGATAAGAATAGATATTATACACTTCGCATCAAAATTAACGCACCACTAAAATTTGGCACAATTTCAAATTTAATTTTCTCGGAAACTGCTGAATCGATTTGGACATATTTTCTGAGCATTTTGTTTTTTTATTCACGTTTCTAGCTCTGTTATTTAATGAAATATGGAGTTTGAAGTTAAAAGCGTTTATTTGAGATTATTCAAGGAAAAGTTTCGGAAGTTAACAAAACAAAAATAAAATTATTGAAAAAATAATGTGGAAAAAAAAAACATTCATTATCGGGTGTTTCTTCCCCTACTCTCTATTACCGCTTGACATCGACGACCCATACTTTGAACCAGACGTCTTATTTGTTCTTGATCGATATTAATCCAAATTTCTCGAACAAAGTTTTCTACATCATTCAAAGACACAGGTAGGGGTTGATGATCTCTAAGCTGCCTACCAATTTGATCCCATAAATGTTCTATAGGATTGAGATCTGGACTGCGTGAAGGCCAGTCCAGAGTCTCAATATCCACCTCATTCAAATAATCTCGCACTATTCTCGCAGTGTGTGGTCTGGCGTTATCTTGCATTAGTAAAAAGTTATCCCCAATATACCCAGCGAAAGGGACCACATGCTCTGACAAAATTTCCGTGATGTACCTTGCACTATTTAAAGGTCCTCCACGCAAAGACACGATGTCAGTACGAGCAGTGAAAGAGATTCCGCCCCAAAACATCACAGACCCTCCATTGAATAACTCGGTTTGGCGAATATTACACTGCGAGTAACGTTCATTTGGTCGTCGAATAACCCTTACTCGTCGGTCGTTGCTGTAAAGACAAAACCTTGTCTCATCTGTAAACAGAACTCGCTCCCAATCTTCAGCATTCCAGTTTACATGTTCCCTGGCAAATTGAAGTCTTGCTCGTATATGGTCTGCATTTAACCTTGGTCCTCTTGCTGGAATTCTGAACCTTAAATTTCTTTCTGCCAGACGTCTCCTTACAGTTGATACACTAACGTTGATATTGTGAGCAGTATTTAATTGTACCCTTAGTTGTCTTGAGGTCACAAAACGTTGCCTCAACGCATTCAGTTGCAAAAATCGGTCATGGATAGCCGCTGTTCCCCGAGTTCTTCCTTGTCCACGGCGCCTGTTGTGGTCATTGGTTTCTTCAAAACGGCGAAATATGCGCAATATTGTCGAATGAGAAACACCCAATCTTCTACCTACAGCTCGGTAGCCCATTCCTTCCTGGATCAATGTAGTCGCCATCACACATTCATCTCGAGTTAAATTTCTTGTTTGACGCTCCATATTTTGCAATGATAACACCAAATGCAGAGAAATTACAGAATAAATTCAAAAATCACTGACAGATAAAGACAGTAGTCTCTGTTTCCATGACAATATCGCGCCTTTGTTTTCCATGGCCTATACTTAGATTTACTTACCTCTTCTTCTTCTTCTTTCTTCTTTTTTCCACATTATTTTTTCAATAATTTTGTTTTTGTTTTGTTAACTTCCGAAACTTTTTCTTGAATAATCTCAAATAAACGCTTTTAACTTCAAACTCCATATTTCATTAAATAACAGAGCTAGAAACGTGAATAAAAAAACAAAATGCTCAGAAAAGATGGGGCTATGTTTTGATTCAGATAGACATCTATTGGTGCAGATGGAAAGTCCCACAGGATGTGACAAAAATTAGGCATCAAACTGGTTTCTTTTAAAACACCCTGTATATGCCTAAAACTTCGATTCAAATGAAACG